AGAAAACTATTAAAATTCGATTGGGTATAACGATTTAAAGTGTAAAGTTTATTCAATGTCATAAATTGGATGATATTTTCTTTTTATTTAGTAGACTATGTTTTTTTCTATAGTCCGAAAAAAAATATAAAAAGAAAAAATAAGAAACAGAAAAAGAGAGAGAGAGTGGTTCAGGTAGTGATACTTTTCTTCTTATCTCAAGCTGTACAATATTTGGTCCAGAAAGAAAATTGGATTAAACATTGAAGGAAGGCAGAGATAGAGAGATAGTGTGTGTGTGTGAGAGAAAGAAAGAGAGAGAGAGAATGTGAATTTTGTGTTTCTATTAGTTTCAATTTGTTCGGAAACATACACATGCTTTGACTCCGTTCGTTTATTACTTCATGTTAGCTTAACTATCTCTAGTTTAACTTGACCTTTCAATTAAATTGAGAGTTTAAACGATACGGTTATAATATAAAGAAGTTCGATTTATTTTGAATATCAATTAAAAATTTTCATGAATTTTAATATAAGAGAATAAATTTAAAAAATTAAATGTAATTTCAATTAAAAAAAAAAGTAGTTTTCTATTATAAATATCGTTAGAAAATTATTTTTGTAATCATATGAAATTCGTGTGAAAAAAAAATTTTTTTTGAATATACATATACAATATGTTGTTTTTTTTTTTTTAATTAATATTATTGTATTCGCGTTTAATTTGATACGTGACGGATAAGAACCGAAAGATTCACTTATTAATACTAATGAAACGTTCAGAAGTTAAACTAACTCGTTTTCTCGGATATTTAATTTCTTCAACGAGTGGCTCTCTCCTATTAATCTTATTTATTTAATTTGTAGGAATTTCCAGAAGGTAAAAGCTTGAAGTGAAAATACCCATATAACTGAGCAACCATTTTCATCGTATATAAATTAAAGGGAGAAATTTAAAAATAAAATAAAAAGAAAAAAGAAAGAAGAAAGAAAAAGAAGACCACTTTTTTCTCTCTCTTTTCACAAAGTTCTATTTTCAAAGATAATTTTGTTAAGTTTTAAAAAAACTTATCTAAATTATTAATCAGTATCGAAATAAAGATATGAACAATTGTTAATCGAATAATTGAATTATCTGTCGAAACGCAATTATTAAAATTGATATTTTAAAATGTTAATTTGTAAAATATATGGATAATTATTTTGACTGTTATAGTTTATATTTTATTATTATACATTTATTTATTTATTTTGTATTTGTTCAATATTGAATGATATTGCTTTTAACAAGAGTACCATCTGTGTATTTTCGGAACTCCTTGTAAAAACGAGCTGTGAGCATGATACATATATACATACGTACACATACATACACACACACACGTATATATACATATATATGTATCTATATTGTCTCAGGATAAAACAATGGCTTTGCTATCAAGCGGCGTTAAAGAAAGTAATCCAATGTTCAGCTAACAATGCCACGTGGAGGTGTATTTTCAAGCACCGTGCATTTCCCTTTTCTATCTCTATCTTTTTCCCCTATCTTTCTCTCTTTGTTTTTTTCTTCCTTTTTTATTTCCTTCTTTTTTCCTTTTAGCTTTTTTATTTCGACCATATTGTAGATCCGACCTCATTTTTAAGCGGTACACCGAGTAACTTGAGCTTTGTATTCTAAAAAAAATAATCCTTTTTTTTTGCATTCGTTTCAGCGAGCATGAAAAAAAAAAAAAAAAGAAGAGAAAATAAAACAGGTCTCCTTTTCCGTTATTATTATATATTTCGATAGTATCTTTCAAATAATCATTTCTTTTTGTGTAATTAAAAGAGGAACGAATAACGAGATAATTTGATCCTATATCGTTTTACGTTTATAAGAAAGAAAAAATAATTTCAAATTTATTTCTGCCTACAACGTTTGACCCTTTCCTTCCTTTCTTCTTTCCTTTTTTTTTTTTCTATTTCTTTTTCGTTTGATCTTGATCATCATTATTTTTAATATTGAGAGAGAAAGAGATTTTTTCTTTCAAATTTTTGATATAATCGAAAGGAAAAATCATTACAAAAAAAATATTACAAAAAGTCTAGGAATATTGAATAAATTGTTAATATTTTATTATATATTTTTTTTTGTTTTTCTTCTATCTTGTCATTCTATTTCTCTTTTCCTATCTCATGGGAGTTGGCGAGAATTTGCATCACCGAGGGCTGATCTATGTAGGTCACGAGTTTTTCGAAACGATTGTTCTTTGTCCCTCGTCAGATATGTCGAATGTCTTTTCCCCTTTGTAATAATACGCTAGGAAAATTCTTTCCGAAATCATCGTTCCTGGTAATGATCCTCGAATTCTCGAAAGGCATGGGTAAATCAAATTTTTTCTACCAATGGAGTAACGGACAATTTTTTTATATTTTCCGATCTTCTCATAGTTATTTTTTCATTTGTTTTTTTATTTTATTATCCGATCAAACATTTTTTTTTTACATAGAAACCTTAAAAAAAATATATTTTTTTGTAATCTTTTTCAATCTAATTATTAATTCAAAAAGAATTAAAAAAACACAAAAAAAAAACATTGGTAACAATTTGAAATTTGTACTGTGGGAAATTATTAACGAATGTGTGCCAATTCAAATTTGTACTGTGTATAATTCAGAATTGTGAATCAATATAAACGTGTACTGTGGGTTATTCACAAATGTGTACCAATTCAAATTAGTATTGTAGACAATTAACAAATTAACGCCTTACATTATTTATATTTTCCATTTTGGAATATAAAGAAGAACATAAATTTATATCGTTGTTTAATAGAAAAGAAAAAAGTAATAATAACAACCGTGCATGATGAAAATTAATAATCAACATTATTAAACGTGCAACATTTTCCCGCGAAAGAAAAAATTATAATATGCTACCCTCATCCCCTACTTTCCCCATTTATACGATATACAAATATTCAGACGCACATTTCGCATAAATCGAATGAAAAATAAGTAACGTCTTCGGGAATCGTGAAAAATAATTTTACCGTAATGATTTGATTTGAAAAAAAAAAAAAAAAAATAAAAATACAAAAATCATACTTCGCGATATATATATCCCAAAAAAGAAGGGAACGCGATTACTAAAATTTATTTTGAGAAGCGATAAAATACAATATAGATGACTATACGAAATTGTTTGCTGAGAATTAATTTCACGTGTAGACCGAGGAATTAATCTGCGAAGGTAAATAGGATTAAATGTTGACCCTGATACGCTGGATACGTTTTCCGCAATGTTCGCAATAATCGAGCATCGTCGCCGAGCCTGATCGTAATCGTCTTCGGTGTGTTCAAGCTAATCCTTATTATGAAAGGATTATGACAGGCTCAGTATAAAACGAATTCTCTGCATTTTCGATTTCCCCAATGGTAATCTTTTATGTGCACGTTAACATGATATTTCCTCCCCTCTACCCTACCTCCCCCAACCCCCTCGCAAAAAATTATTTTAATAACACTTACCTTTTTAATTATATCCTATTGTAATTAATAATTACACGTATTTTTTTTTACAGCAATTTTTATATGTAAAGAAAAAGAAAATGAGACAGAGAGAATGTGTGCGTGTGTGTGTAATATATTTTTTATATACATGAATACCAGTGAACACATTCATTTACACATAGAGACATAGTCATTATTTTTTTCTTCTTGGTTGTGCAGTGGTCTTAAAAATGATCGTGCATCTCTGTCGGTAGAACAATGGTTAAATTTTTTGTTTTTTTTTTTTTTGTTTTTTTTTTTCATGCGAAGTACACATTTCTTTTTTCTTTTTAACAAATAAATAAGTGGTTAAAATTACGTTATATCGATGATGTATTTATAATTAAGGATTGTAGGATATTAACGAAAACTCTTTCAATGAGGTAGAAAATTACGATTCGTTTCTGTCGCGTATACCTTCAATTAGTGGATTAATTAAAACGCATTCAAGACGTCGTCCGGTGGCGTGGAATTTAATAAAGTGCCCAGCGTTAACTGGGAAAAATCGTGCTGCGAAGCGCGTGACTGTTCTGACATGAAGTAATGTATTATACAATAGTTTTGTATTAGACGCGCATGAAAAGAAATGGTGGCATGTCACGTGAACAAAGAACAAAAAAAATAATAAGGAAAGAAAGAAAAAATAATTTCAAATTTATTTCTGCCTACAACGTTTGACCCTTTCCTTCCTTTCTTCTTTCCTTTTTTTTTTTCTATTTCTTTTTCGTTTGATCTTGATCATCATTATTTTTAATATTGAGAGAGAAAGAGATTTTTTCTTTCAAATTTTTGATATANTACAATAGTTTTGTATTAGACGCGCATGAAAAGAAATGGTGGCATGTCACGTGAACAAAGAACAAAAAAAATAATAAGGAAAGAAAGAAAAAATATTAAAAATGGGAGAAAAATAAATAAAAACTAAAATAATAATAATAATAATAATAATAATAATAATAATAATAATAATAATAATAATAATGAAAATAATGATAATGATAAAAAATGAAAAAAATTGTTATCAGAGTTTTCTATTACGAATTTTAAAGCTTTTAAAAACAATGGGTATCTCGAGGTATACGTTGACGTATCATTTCCCGTTTTCATTGTTTCGTTCGTAGGGAAGACAAAAATTTACGAGAAGTTTAATATAGTCTACGGCGAATTGTAACGCGTGTCAAAAGTTATACCACTAGTGGTAGTAACTTTAGTATTAAAGTACCAAGTTTCCACCTAATAATGCCACGCTGGAAGTTTTTGATATTGTATTAGTTACATCCAAGGAAGCGATACTTCAGTGAAATTCGAAACGTGTCCTTCGAGTTAACTTCGTAGATAATTTACCAAGTTTGACTTATGTTACAATGCTTTTGTAAATTAATTGGTTATATTATAAGATTTTCTATATCATTTCAATACGAATTTGTTTCACTTTTAATATTCATATTTTCGTCTTTAAACGATCTCTATTCCTTTCTTTTTTTTTTTTTATATGAATTATATTGTTTCGTACAAATTTTTTGTTAAATTAAATTTAAATCGTATTAGATATTTTTGTTGGTTCTACGTGTTAAACGATTGAATTTTGATAGGAATAATTATTTTGGTTTTTTTAATCAACGGACTCTTTGATATGTCATTTGATTTAACTTTATCGTAAATTTGTAAAATTTGAATTCCAATAAACTGATTTACACGTGCTTTCAAATCGAATGAAATATTTCTATTGGCTTACAAGTTGTTTGAATTTCAATTTAGTTACTAACAAACGTTATTGGTTAGATATAATAGAACTAGATAAATGATTACTTTGTATTCATCATTATCATTGTTAAGTGTACGTTTCGATAATACCTTTGATGTGTTCTTCGAGTGAATTTACAAAGTTTGTTAAATTACTATGTAGAATAGTTGCTTTGATAAAGTTGTAGGAGCTTTCGAATCGTATTAGGTTTCTCTATAAGAATTTTTATTTCAACTTTAGATTTCAATTTTCTCTTTTAATTGTATCGATTATTAAATTGCGAATGATTCAAATTTTAATTATTATATTTAATCGATGAAAAGAAATGATATTATTACGATAATGATGATGATGATGACTATTATTATTATTATTACTATTATTATTATTATTATTAATAATATTATTATTAATGCTTGATAAAACTTACAACGATCCTATGTATATACCTAGATTTATTTAAATTGACAGTCACGTAGTTGATAAGGAATTTTTCCGAAAGACTAACTCGAAAGCTCCTACAGAAAATAAAAGAAGAAAATAAATGGACCAAACGTTGTTCCTCGTATTCGACGTTGAATTTCTTCTCTCGCTACCACCGTGCATGGCTGCTAGATTTTCTTCTTCTGCAAGCACAATGAAATATACAAACAAATATTAATTTCAAATATTCGTTAAAAATTTACTATTATTCACATATTAATTTAAATCCTTAAGGAAAATCCTTTCTTTTTTTTTTATCGGATCTTCATACAAAATAAATTTATTTCCCTTTGATTTTTTTTTTGTGTTCAATATATTAGTTTAACATAATTTTAAATAAAGACAATGTTAATTTTAATCGTATTGTATTTACGTTACAAATAACGTAATGTTACGTTTTATCGATTAAAAATAATTTAATTTATATCGTATTGTATATGTGTTCAATAAATTAAGAATATTTTATTTTCGTGATTATTGAAAAACCTAGCACGGAGAGCTCAATGTTCCATTAACTTTTTCACGATCACGTTCGATCTACTATCAAAAGTGGATTAAACTCGTCGACTGTTTTCTTCTTCTTGCTGAAAGACAGATATAAATTGATATCTTGAGCCATGAGTCGCGGTCGATTCCACTTCTCGTTTGTATGCACTACGCCGAGTTCTTCCATTATCTTTCCATTTCGATGAACTCCTGTTTTCAATTTTTTTTATTCTCACGGTATAAACGTATATAATCTGTACGATAAAGATTAGTGCGATATTTTTTACGTGATTTTTTTTTCAAACAATAAATTTTCATAAAATTACGATCGAATTATGCGAACAAAAATTGTTTGTTGTTTTTTATTTTATTTCTTATTATCGTTTTATATATTGAAAAATGATTTGTTAACAAAAAATCATTTATAAATTTTATCTACCAATTAATAAATGATCAATTATCTTACATTTTATTGGATAAAATTATTTTTATTATAAAAAAAATACTATTTATTAATTATATTCGACTAACCTTCGATAACGTGTATCCTGATGTAACTTGGCTTTGCATTGCTCGGTGAACAAGTATAATTAGCACCATGGGACAATTTAACTTTGTCTACTAGAAGAACCGAACCATTTTTCGTAGCCTCGACTTTAACTCCAGGCTCATTATCATAATTGATCATACGATCATCGCGATACCAGAATATGTAACTAGGTGTTTCAGCAGCTGCCATCAATCGACATTCCAAACGTAAGTTCGAGCCCTGTTTTATATGTAAGTCTGGACTTCCAGGTATGACGGAGTAGGCGTCGGTAATATTTAAACGAATCAATCGTTGTTTCATTGGTTCCGATTGTATCTTTAATTTAATACAAAATAATACGATTATATATATTATTTATATTCGTAACAGATTTAGCCACAATTTATTAAGAAAAAGTTTCTAAAATCATTCGACATGCTTACAACATTAGTTTAAATTTACGAGCGAGGCTTCTAATTTTTAGATATACAAAAAGGATAATTACTTTTTGAAATTATCGAAAGATTATGGGTTCATTTTGTAATTTTTAGTGAGAGATTAATTTGAATCGTAACATTTTTAATGTATTAACATTTCTGTCGAAGACTTTATAGAATGATATTAAGATTAGGTTATCCTATTATCGTAGTTTCCGAGTAAGTATAGTATGTAGTTATTGTCTGGTCGTAGTTCGTCACCATTCTATTCTCTCACACCGTATTAGTATTATACTATCACTACTGCTGTCCGATCGTGACTGGTCATAGCTACTGTTTGTCCAAGATAAACCTTTACTACCGTCGACCGTACGATTCATCACCATTGCCATTGGCATGCTATCTTATGCGATTAATATAAACGTATTGTGTTCGCGGATCAGACTATAGGAATATATTCTGTCGGTACGAAGTCGTCTCTTTGGAACTGGATTTAGTACTCATGAATAAATGACAGTATAAACGAGTTAGGTCAATCATAGAAATACTTCAAACTATATATTATTTACTAGAAGATAACTTTCTCAAACACAGTTACTAAAATGTCATCTGTATATTCCCTATACCGATGATATTTGATCGATTATCTTGTATTAATTACTCTTTTTGAAAATACTAGACAAAAAATTGCGCTTTAAGTTAAACAAATTTTCATATTTGTCAATTTTGAAAAAGGTAAAGAGTATTAACGTTCCTTAGGATAGACAACCTTTTATATTCGTACTACGGACGAGTACTCCTTAATATAGGCAATATATTTGTACATACACAGGTGTTAGTAAATACAATTGCGCAAAGAAACACGTTGTCGTACAAATGGTTGCCTATATTAAGGCACTCTTCTCCCAAAACTGATTTATATATACCCGTTATCATTATACATTCACATTTTAAGTACATAGATATAAATAACTAAGAAATTATCTCACGTGGCACTCGTAGATACCACCGTCCTCGTGTTTAACATTCTTAATCCATAAATTCCAATTAGGTTTATCGGGTAAGACGATAAATCTCGTGTCTATGGAATACGTGATTCTCCCTAATGTTAAAAATTGTTTATCCTTCCTTCTTATCCATGTTACCTAAAATTCAGAAAAATTATGTTACATACATGTATTGAATTATTCTTTACCTGATTTTCTTTTTTTCTTCATATCTTCGTATTCATTAACTCGAATTCTTTAAAAGCGAAGAGGTAAATCATTAGGCCAGTTTATTCGACAATGTGCGAATAACTATCGAATCTCGTAATTGTGCAACGTACTAATGTATCGAGAGTGTTAGTCTGTGAGAGAGAAAGGATAAAGTAACCACAAAGTCGCTTTTCATTCGTTTTACTCGTTATAAATCGAATCACTAACTCGGTCCAGTAAATTCTATTTATCAACGTTCGATAAAGTCGAGTTCGTAGGAGAAACAAAGCCCAAGACGAGCTTGAAAATTCAATGGTTTAATTCACCTAGAGTACGCGATAATTTAGATTACCATAATTGTTATACTACAGCCGATATTGCTTTTTCTTTTACAAAATGAACTCTTACTTTATGTATTTTTTTTATCTCTCTTTTTTTTCTTTTCTTCATAAGAGGAAAAAATCGGGATTATAAAATAAGAAAAGGAAGAAAAAAGTAATAAGAATTTTCCTTTTCTTTTTCTTTTTTTCTTTCTTTCCTCATTCTGCTTTCCTTTTAAACCAATGAAATCTGTATTTCTTCGTATATTATTATAAACATCGTATAAAACGGTACGGTTTTTTGTTCCGTATTATTAAAACCAGTATGTAATAATCCTTTTATCTTTTTTTTTTTAATAAAAACGACGAAATAAAAGAGGGAATAAGATTCTGACTTAAAACAAAAAGAAAACAAAAAATAATTGAACTTTCTTCTTTTACTTCGTTAACTTTACGAGGAACGTTTGACTGAAGAAATCGAAAATTAAAATCAGTTTATAACTTTAATAAAAAGAAAGTTTTAAAATGTTTTTTCTTGTTTTTTTTTTTTTAGTCACACCCCGTTATTTACAATGATCAACAATCGCTATTTAAGTTATCTTTCTCTGCAAACGTTAATTAAAAATGTTCTTTTTTATACTACTTAAAAATGTCTTACCATATATATATAACTTTCTCCCTGTTTATACTACTTAAATCGATTATTTTTACAATACTATCAAGCTTCATTGAACCATAAATTTGAATCTATTGTAAAACTTTTCATTATTATAGTTTAAAAATAAATAAAAAAAAAAAAAAAAATAAAACTTTCTTTGTGTTTTCAACTTTTTGAATCGAAAGAGAAAGAGAAAATAAAAATTAAAACTAAAAAACTATCGATTTCAGTTCAGTTGATCTTGTTTGATTTTTTTTTATTTCTCTGTTGAAATCTCGTTGCTAGTCCGATTTAATCGACTAACGTAAGCTAGAATAGAGAGAGAGAGAGAGAGAGAGAGAGAGAGAGAGAGAGAGAGAGAGAGAGATGGAACCATTCGATTTCTCGTTAGAGAACATTCGTAACAACACTATGTACGAACACTATGACTAGTTCAGAAATTTATTGCATCTGAAATGGACGGCTATTTGCAAACGCCTCCTGTTACCATAGTCGTCCCTTTAATTATTGCAACATCGTCTATGCACCTGCCCATATACATAAAACCAATGTGTATGAGTTAGAGTATAAACCGTTTATAAAACGTCAGTTAACTCAACGTTATTGTTTATCCTTCAAATTATTTAGGTCAGTACGGATAGACTGCACGGTTTGTATACTTGTAAAAGGATCCGAAAAAAAATAAAAAAAAATAAAATATCTAGGCATAAATCGTTTATTAAACGTACGTATATGTGTATATGTGTGTGTGTGTGTGTGTATTGTAATGGTAAACTGTAGGTTATTGTTTATTCCTCAAATTGTTGAGGTCAGTAGTATGAAAAACCTGTATTAATGTAAAAAGAGTTATGAAAAAAATAATAATAAAAAGAAAAAAAGAACAGATCTACAAAAAAAAAGAAAAAGAAAAAGGTATAAAACAATTACTGCACTTTCATTAAATTTGTTGGTAATTTGTATATAACTATTATATATACTAACAGTGTATAAATCTGTAAATACTAACTAAACAAATTAACAAAAACACAGAGATTCGGTGAAATGATGTTTGTGTTTAATCGGTAGTAAGTTGTCTTGTTGTCCTGTGTGCAACGTAACGTTATTATTTCAGCTAAAATCTCTCTCTCTCTCTCTCTCTCTTTGTTTGGGTAATTATATACTCCGAGAGAAATAAAGGTAGAGAGAGAGAGAAAGAGAAGGCTAATATTCATGACTAATTTAAACGCTTTAAAGGTACAATTACAGTATAAAACGAAAGGTTTCTTTGATAAAAACGACCTAACTAAATACTCGACAAATTTAACATTTATTGGACATCAATATGTTGTTAACTTTTAATTCATAAATTCTTATTGAGATATATGACCTGTAAATTTTCACACGTACACAATCTTCAATTTCATCCTATGAATACGATTATACAAATCGATGAAACAAAAATTATCTATCCTATTTTTTTTTTTTTTTGTTAAAACGCGAGATTTCCATTTTCCGAAGGAAAAGAAAATAAAGTGACGCAAAACGAAACAATAAAGGAAATCTGTCAACGTTAAAGCATTGAATATGATAAAAAGAAAGTGGAAAAAGAAGAAGTAGAAGACGAAGTAGAAAAAATAGGGGTAAAGATGAAAAAGTATTGGATAAAGAATAAGAATAAGAATAAGAAGAAGGATAAAGATGATGGTGAAAGGGGGACTGGTGGTGGTGGTGGTGGTGGTGGTGGTGGTGGTGGTGGTGCTGCTACTGGTTCGAGAAGGAGCAGGTTGAGGTGAAAATGGTGAGCGGGGTGAAGGGGGTGAAGAGAGTCTGAAGAGGTGGGTTGTGGGAGTAAAAGCAAGGACGACACGCACCATGAATAAAAGATGACGATGCTTCGTATGATTCTCTGCGTGTCCATGGTGTCACTGGCATATTGATTGCCTTCTTTGGTGCTTTTCGACGTTGCAGCTTGCAAGCAAGCCAACCGACAAGTATACGTCTGCTTAGAATGTGAACCTATTATCTACAGCTTTTCGCGTATGCGCGTTTCTATTGCTTGGTATCATGCTGGCTTACTTCGTTGTTAGCCTAAATGTGTATATAGGTGTGTATACGTTTATGTGTGTGTGTGTGTGTATGTGAGTTTTCACAGCTTCAACTATACTAAACATCCTCGCTCAATACTTGAGTTTACGATAGACCATTTTTTATGATCCTTTCGTTTACCTAACTTACGTATATGTATATGGATATTTTGACGTTGCTTTTTCTGCGAAAAGAAAATGATAGAAAAAGAGAGGGAGAGAGAGAGAGAGAGAGAGAGAGAGAGATACTTGAAGAAAAAAATGTAAAAATGTAGGATAGGTATAGTATGAAAAGTAAATAGGCATTGTTATGGGGGATAAATAAAAGATAAAAATAAATATTTGGATGCGGGGAAAATTTTATTAGGGCTTTCGTTCAATTTCTTTTCCATTTCTTTTTATCCTTTTCGTTCTATTTTTTTTTTTTTAAGTAGAAATTTTATCGCGTCGATTAGGTATATATATATATATATAATACCTTAATATATATAGGTATATATTAGGTATATATTATATATATATATATAATAGAATTTTTGGTTAATTGTCTGTGGTATTTGTTTGAAAGATATTTGTTAACATAATGTTTTGAAAGTTAAATTCTGACGATAGAGACCAAAATTACGTTGATATTAATTAAAGAAGTAACGTTTCTCTGCTGATCGTATATTGATTCTTCGACTATGACGTTAATTACGGAAAATCCGATTGCTAGTGCCTTGCTGAACGTGTCATTCCCATCCGGTAAATGATAAAACTGTCAATCATTCGACGAAACAAATCGCGTTCGGTATTGTCGCAACCGAGTTAATCAATTTTGAAATTCCCACCATGTCAATTCTAATTAAACCGTAATCGCATTTGCTCGCTTTAATTCGTATATGGAAAAAACAAAAAAAAAAATCTCGGAGAAATGGAGAATAAAATAAAACAAAAAGCTCGATTTGACAAGCACATGTAGAAGAATTTTTCGCAAATGTTTGTATCGATTAGTACGCGCGCATGCACGAATTAACAAATGGTATAAAATATTGTTCTGAATTTGTAAAGAAATATTTTGTTATTTATCCAATTTGATCAACAAATTTGTATTTCATTTTCTCTCCCACGTCCCTCCCACGACCCTTCGTTAGCCTAGATTTTATTCAAAATTAATTGACGCCAAATTCCAACGGTTCGCATAATATATTATATTATTCCTTTTTTGTTCTTGTCCCCCCCCCCCTTTCAGTTATCTTGATTTTATTTTTTCTCCCGATTATAGGATAGAAAATAAATTACAATTTCTCTGGGTAACATTGATATAACTCGATAATATTTCAACTAGTACAATGACAAAATTCTATTTCAATTCTCATTTATTCATTTGCATATTCTATTTAAGTTCAACGTATATATAAAATATCGTACTCGTTCATTAAAACTCTTCACTCTTTCTTTTTATGTGTTTTCTTTTTCTTTTTAATTCCTATTTCGTGTGATACTTAAAAAAAAAAAAAATAAGTCACCACAAATTTATCGTCCCCCCCTCCTTTTTTCCCCCTAATCACGATACCTTTCATCTTTAATATCTTTTTGAACGATTAATTTTATCCTTCGTTGCAGTTAACTTTCTTTCTCTTTTTCTTTATTTCTTTTAACGTCACGTGACAATCGATATGTTAAACTTTATCGACTTTGGATATTTCCCTTTTATAACCATTTTACGAGAACTGAACGTAAAGTTCGATGGGACTTATCGAACCGTAGCAGAGAAATGTCGTTCGATATCGTTTAATAATTTACGACGAACATAAATATTTGTCCATTTTATTATTCCTTCTTCTTACGTTACGCACTCGACAATTACGATGTTACGTCGACAAAATATTAGAAAAAATTTATCGAAATTTTCACCTATCATATTCC